GAGTTTTTCCTCTCCACCGTTTGCTCAGGATGGGAGACTGTGATGAAGTGATTCAACACAATCTGCTGGCTTCTTCTTTAGATTGTTCTTTTTTATGTACAGTGCCCTGAGACAACGTATGTTGTGACTTGGCGCTATATAAATAAACTGAATTGAATTTTGTCTAGTACTTGAAAAAAATATGCAAATATTAAGTGTTAAACGTGGCTGACTGTGTTTCTACAGTTTTTATGTTTTATAAGATGAAAATAGATTGAACGYGCTGCAATTCGAAGAATCAGAGAACATCAATAAAAGCACTGATAGCTGAGGTTTATAWATGGGTACGTGACTCGACCTACTTCTTTTTAGGTCCGCAGAGGCTTTAATTACAGACYGGTTTGATCCAGACAACCTAGTGTTCAAAGGAAGGGCGCTTAAAACTGGAGGATTGAAACTTCAAGGAAACATCGGCACTTCTTCCTGTGAGAAAACAGTACTTTCAAATGAAGAATCAGTAAAATCTGAACAAAGCATGACCCAAATTCCTAGTTTCGTGGTAATAAATGCTCTAGAATTTTATTGAATAAGTTAAAAAAACAAAAGAAAAGAAAGAAAAACCCAAGCAGGTGGTGTGTGATGTATACGTCACAGTAACAGACAGCTTCCGGTCAAAGTAAAAGTACTTACAGTACATGAAAGCTTGACAATATGCTTTTTTAAAAATTATAAATTAGGAAAACATTCCTCTGCTTCACGTCTACTTTCATCCACTTAGAAAAAAAAAATCACTGAGTCATTAGGCGGCCATTTTCTTTTTAAATGAGACAATCTCATCGGTCAAAAGATAACTTTTAATTTATATTAGTCACATCAGGAGTAATGTCAGCTGAAAACTTTATCCTCTGGAAAACATATTAGTATTTGTTTACATTCAGTCAAAGATCATTTCATCTACACTCTCTGTAATAATGAGCTACTGCCGGCGTCGTAACGCTCACATCCTGTACAGTGTTTAATCAGACACGCCGCTAACAAACGAAACAAAAACTCTGTACAGTAAATCTCTTAACAGCAATGAGTAACGCTTTTTTTTTCTCTCTTTTTTTCACAGAACCAACTGTACAAATCGTACAATAACAAACTGGAAATTTTTATAATTTTATAGTTTTATCCATTTTTCTATACAGCAGTTTTATCTTTAAATCCCCTCTTTTCTCTGGTCACTAACGATTTTTTTCACATCAACTTACTAATTTATGCACTTAATGACAAGCTTTGATGGGTTGAAAACTCACATTCACTGTCAAAGTTATTAGCTGCTGCAGTGTGTTGTGTTAAGTCCGATGCGTCCTGTTATCAAATCGTAAACTTATTGCAGTTCTTTACTTTTGGGCTTTGGCAGCGAAGGGAGAGCAGTTTGAGGCTGCAGGCAGACTGTGGAGGCTGGAGTCGAGCATCGACCGCATGACGGGACACGAGTCTGCTAAACGCTTCGGTACATTCCTGTTGGGTCTGAACGCATGGGGCATGAAAATGTGGGTTTGTTTTTGGTGAAATTCTCCAGTTTTCATCACACCCACGCGCACACACACAGACACACATACACGCACACGCACACACCTCTGACTGCAGCATCAGTCCACGTGTTCATCGCTCCTGCTGGTCTGGGTGGATGGATGAATGGGACACACAATGAGTGCAAAAGCGGCAAGCTCCCGCGCCACTCTGTGATTACGACACGGCTCGCCGGGAGGTGCTGTAGCTCAGGCCGGCGCTGCCGCTCTTCTGTGGGTACTTGAGCGTCGTGGCAACCGTCAAGCTGGACGTCATGGAAACAGGGAAGCTGGTCGTCATTGCGGCTGCTGCAGATAAGCCAGCGGTGGCAGCGGAGGAGGCCAATTCGGTCAGGCAGCCGTGCTGCAGCAGGATGTCCACACACTCCTGGCTTCCGGCGCTTTGAGCCAGAGTCAGCGCCGTCTGCCCCTGAGCGTCCCGATGCCGGACGTCACAGCCGTACTGGAGACAGAACAAACCCAGCTGAACTGAACAATCAGTGAATTCATGACACTAATGTCAGCTCCATCATTTCAGATTGCATTAAGATCCATCTGAACTGACAGGACTAGATTATCACTAACTGCTTCTGTACCGTGCGTCAAAAAGGGCGTCTTCAAAAAGATGGTTCAGACTTTTTGAATTTAAATATTAGGAACAATTAGTATCTTATCTGTTGCAGATAGCGCTTTGAACCAGAGCTTGGAGACAAAGAGTTGATTCTAACTGGACTGAAATCTAAGGTCTAGTCTGAGCAGCACCAAGATCAAGGTGGATTACTGCTGTTTAAGTAAATTTGACATTACACAGTTAATCTGACAGAAATATCACAAACATTTCTGTTGAAAGTGGTCCAGGATAAACAGGTGCTACAGGAAGCTGCTGCTGCTATTTGTGCTGAGGAAAATTATACATAAAATTATCCATTCATTGTCTTGTACCCTCTTCACTGGGCCGCTGATGCCTACAACAACAACAACAACAACAACAACAACAACAACAACAACAACAACAACAACAACAACAACAACAACAACA